GCCAAAGCCAGCTAATGTCAATCACGTCATTCACTACAGCCCACCGCCGCTGCGATCCCGTCCGCACCGTCTATGCCTCTAACGAAGACCCACTTCGGTGGTGGTGTGGGATGTCCAGGCGCTTTCCGAAATTCTGTTGGCTTGCTTTTCATTATCTCTACGTGCCTGTGACTTCAGTTCCTGCAGAGCGCATTTTTTCAAGTGCAGGAATTGTTAATCACCTCAGGTCCTGTCTTACTTTTTGTTTGTTTTGTTTTTAGATGATATAGCCTACATGATGAAATATGTTTTTAAAAAAACTTTTTAATGCTATTCCTTGATCAAATTTCCATTTGTTTTTGATTATTCCCTGATGACTTGTGTTTTAATATGTTGGCTAACGTTATATGAAGATGAAGAATTCTGTCAGGCTATTGATTGATTTTCCATTGTTCTGCATTTCCCCAGCTGATTCTAATGAATAAGCATTGGCTGACGTTGAGTGTGTGCTCTTCTTTTTATTTATTTTTTTATTTTTTACACGACCGCCTAAAATTAAATGATAATGCGAGGCAAGCGTACGGCATAATTGTGACCTATTTCCCGTCGCTGCTGTGATCCCGTCCACGCCGTCTATTCCTCTAATGAACACCTACTTTGGTGGTGGTGTGGGATGTCCAGGCGCTTTCCGAAATTCTGTTGGCTTGCTTTTCATTATCTCTACGTGCCTGTGACTTCAGTTCCTGCAGAGCGCATTTTTTCAAGTGCAGGAATTGTTAATCACCTCAGGTCCTGTCTTACTTTTTGTTTGTTTTGTTTTTAGATGATATAGCCTACATGATGAAATATGTTTTTAAAAAAACTTTTTAATGCTATTCCTTGATCAAATTTCCATTTGTTTTTGATTATTCCCTGATGACTTGTGTTTTAATATGTTGGCTAACGTTATATGAAGATGAAGAATTCTGTCAGGCTATTGATTGATTTTCCATTGTTCTGCATTTCCCCAGCTGATTCTAATGAATAAGCATTGGCTGACGTTGAGTGTGTGCTCTTCTTTTTATTTATTTTTTTATTTTTTACACGACCGCCTAAAATTAAATGATAATGCGAGGCAAGCGTACGGCATAATTGTGACCTATTTTTAGCGGAATTCATTGAGGGATTTGACAGTGTGATTCATAGATTAGGTATTTCAAATGTAGGCTATTATATACACGCACGCACAAAGTTATTTTTTCTTACCATCTTTTGGGGGTTTCTTGCTTTTAGACTAGTCGACTAGGCACTAAACAGAATTTAAAAAATCCCAAAATCATTGCTTGGACAAATAGATTGTCCCATCCCAAGCACAAGCCATTGGTTGAGTAAATGTTGCTATGGCAGGCCGTTTTTGGACAAGAGCAACCTCTGAATGTCTCTGCACATTAAAGTATGAGAAAAAAAATCATCTTTATGAATTTGTAGACTATAATAAAGTAGTGTTCCTATCTTTTGGCTTGACATAATTGTTAAATCTCTTGGACCGACGTTATTGGGTTAACCTGTAAAATTTAATTATGTTGGCCAGAAAGTGAAAGTTCCTACAGAAATGGTGAGAAACAGTTAATCGTTCTTCGAGAAATGGTGAAATTCCCCATCTCCTCTTTCTATCTCATATACGTTAAAATAAAACTAACGCTTGATTTCCTCTTTCCTTCCTCAACTAGCACGCCTTTCATATAATGATAGAGGTAAGAGAAGCCTGATTCATTCATCTTCTTTTTTTTTTTTTTTTTTTTTCAAGATTGTTGAAACCTCATTTTAAACTTTTTTTCATTGCCATCAAAAGCACCCCTTTGTTTTTGTTAGCACATATTCCTATAATATCCCACTGGTTTTATTTTGCGTTTATCCCTGCACATTGCCTCATCAATCTGTGATGCTCTGACTTTCAGTGCACGGATAACAAAAACGAAATCCTCTCTGATTCAGGCAGAGATCCCTTGATTTTGGTGCATGGTAAAATGGCAGTACTGAGGTTAAAAATGCATGTCTCCAAGCATGCAGCAAATGTATGCAAAGATGAATGTTATGAATGTGGGAATGGGGAACAGCTGAAAGTGCTTTTATTGTACTTAATCTATGAACATTTGCAGTCATATTGAAAGATTCAAGGCAAACTGTCATATTGCATCAGTGTCACCTCTTGGACATTCTCAATTTCAGCACACACTAAATACACATGAAAAATCAGTGGCTTGATAACTTTGAAAGATGTGAGGCTGTGGGTCTCTGCGGCACTCATTTGCCAATCCATGTGGCAGTTTTGGCCAGAGAGGCAAAGCTCTTAAAAACTGGAATGAACTAAGATTATTCCCTGATGACTCCTGAGCTGTATTTACATTTGCATGAATGTGCTTCTTGACAGATGTTCGTCCATGAGCTAAATAAATCTACAACAGCAAAATACAAATAAAAAAAGCCTTGCTAGATTTAAGAGGGTCATGTTATGTAAAACTGGATTTTTCCCTCCCAGCAAGTAATGCAGTGGTATAGTAATTATATAGATTATACTATGTTTTTTCAGTGATCACTTTCCATATCACAGTAACAGTAAAAGCAGCCTGTTTTCTTGGGGCTAGAAAGAAAGTTGAAAATGGTGGGGGAAACTGAATTATGAGCAGGATATTTAACTTTTAGTCCAGGAAACCTTGACTAGCATTGTAAGTGGACCTCAAGGGGAAAATAAAATGATGCAAAAGAGTAAGATATTGCCCTTTTACAACCTTTTTGAATCGCTCCCAGAGGGTGATTGAACAGTAATGGTGGGCAGCCCAAAAACAAGTAAAGGAAAGCAAGTGGTCATTCAGTGTTCTGGAGCCAAAGATTGTTGCCTGATTTCTCTTGAGATTTAGTCCACCCTGAAGGTTTAATACAAAACATCGCATTCATTCTTTTATCCACCTGTGTGCCAGTACTGATATGATCTCTGGCACTAAGAAGTCCATTTAGTTCTGTAAGGATTTAGCTCTGCATTACATTGTGTATATGCTGCATTTCTTACAGCAAACCACTGTGTATTGCTTTGGTCTAAATGTGTCTTTCAAATGAATAACTGTATGTAAATAATTCACAAGAGATCAAAAGCCCCCAAAAATTTCAAGGCCGAATAAGTTATCCCAGATTCACTGTGCATTCTTCTTAAAGTATAGTCTTTGTAAACAGTCATGGACCTTAAGGTGGCTTTCTGTTAGGTGAGATAAATCTTATTCTTCCATACATCACATTTATAGTAGACTTAATAACAGTCCTAAAAACTCAGTGCAATAAAAAAATCAGTTTTCATTGAAACAGTAGAAATATTTATTTGATGTTTCAAAAACTATTCAGACATGCATCAATGGAAAAATGTGCATCAGTAAATACGTCTGAATTGAATGTATTTGATGCATCACAAAATAATGAAGCCACATCTTTGAGTTGTCCTTGTATGCTGAATTAAAAAACAAACTGGCTGTGATCTGATTGTTACAGTATGTTTGTGTATAAAAAAAAGAATGCAAATGACATATATCAGATATTATTTGCTTCAATTATTTAAAGACGGAGAAATGAGAATTAGGGACATCAGTAAATACCTGCATGAATGCTTCACATGTAAGTCACTTGCAAAACAATTGTCTCTGCTAGACTTTTTTCACTGGTCTCTTTATTTTTAGACAATGAACAAAACAAACAACTCCAGTAACCTGCACTTTGACATACTATATCTGCCACAGGCATCTGGGTAGAAGGATAGCCCTCTTAAATTACCGGTGTTGTTTTTCTTTTTCTCTATTTTAGAAAAGGAATGCTTTAAAAATGTCACTCTGTGCCTCCATCCATGGCCACTGCCCCAGGGGCAAACGCTTCCCGTAAGACCTATTGTCGTCATGTTTATGACTGGTGTCTACTTGGTGACTAACGTTTAGGCAAATGGAAAAGTAAATATGACCTTGACCCATGTGGGTGTAGGTGTGTGAGGTCAGGGTGAGGGTCAGTCCCTACCGTACCTCCATTCTCCCTCATTTCGCGTCGACTCTCTCGGTTTGTGTAACAGCAAAGCATTGCCATCTCAGAAGTACTTGCTTTCTCGCCTGCGTCCTCACCGTTTCGTGTTTTTCTTCTCTGCATGATGGATGTTTTGTTCTTTAACCTTGTCTCCTCCCACCCACAGTCATGCGATGCACTTTTTGCCAGCATTTGTTTCCTTGAGGACTTGGAAAAAGTTAGTTAACCACCCAGATCCATATGCTAAGGAGTCTCAGTTCAGAACAATCGTGCCTTCCCCTCCATGTTCAGTTGGTGGAAATGTAGGCCACATATAAAAACATGCCTGTTCTGCATTTGGCCTACTTTTGCCTGAACTCCAAACCACAATCTAGCAGGTGCTCTGTGGACAGACTTTCTTCATCCTACCTACTTATTGGGCATTTGTTTCAAAAAGGAGGCCAAATGAATCTCTTTTTCTCTATTCGAGCACTTACAACTAACAAAGGGAAGTAGGTTGTTACAGAGATTTAAGGTTAATCTCACAAGACTTCTGTAAAGAACATACCAGTGTAATTTGGCTTCCATTATATTTTACTTATTGTTTGCTTATATTTGATTTAAGAAAATGGAGGATGTTTTTAGGACCATGAAGAAAGTTTTGCATTGTGACATTAAGTTAAACAAAAATTATTTTTTATATATATTTATATATATTAGCATTGCCATCTCAGAAGTACTTGCTTTCTCGCCTGCGTCCTCACCGTTTCGTGTTTTTCTTCTCTGCATGATGGATGTTTTGTTCTTTAACCTTGTCTCCTCCCACCCACAGTCATGCGATGCACTTTTTGCCAGCATTTGTTTCCTTGAGGACTTGGAAAAAGTTAGTTAACCACCCAGATCCATATGCTAAGGAGTCTCAGCTCAGAACATTTAATCAATGTATTAAAAACTAATGTCCAGCAATGAATGAATGCATCTGAATTGAAGGTATTTGACATATCACAAAATAACGAAGCCACGTCTTTGAGTTGTCCTTGTATGCTGAATTCAAAAACAAACTGACTGTGACCTGATTGATACAGAATGTTTGTGTATAAAAGAAAGCAAACAACATATCTGAAGAAGTATTGCTTAAATTATCTTTTTTTTTAAACCAGTTCACCAATTCAAAGTATAGGCTGAGAAATGAGAATTAAGGACATCAGTGGTATGAATAAATACCTGTATGAATGCTTCACATGGGAGTCACATGCAAAATAATTGTCTCAACTGGACTTTTGCCACTGGTCTCTTTATTTTCAGGCACTGAATAAACCAAACAACTCCAGTAACCTGCACTCTGACATACAATATCTGCCACAGGCGTCTGGATAGACAGATAGCCCTCTTAAATTACCTGTGTTGTTTTTCTTTTTCTTTTAGAAAAGGAATGCTTTAAAAATGTCAGTCTGTGCCTCCATCAACGGCTGCTGCCCCAGGGGCAAACACTTCCCATAAGACCTATTGTCGTCATGTTTATGACTGGTGTCTGCTTAGTGACTGACGTTTAGGCAAATGGAAAAGTAAACATGACCCTGACCCGTGTAGGTGTGAGGTCAGTGTGAGGGTTGTTTTCTTTACATCCCCCTCAGGAGCTCAGTCCCTACCGTACCTCCATTCTCCCTCATTTCGCGTCGACTCTCTCGGTTTGTGTAACAGCAAAGCATTGCCATCTCAGAAGTACTTGCTTTCTCGCCTGCGTCCTCACCGTTTCGTGTTTTTCTTCTCTGCATGATGGATGTTTTGTTCTTTAACCTTGTCTCCTCCCACCCACAGACATGCAATGTACTTTTCTCCAGCATTTGTTTCCTTGAGGACTTGGAAAAAGTTAGTTAACCACCCAGATCCATATGCTAAGGAGTCTCAGTTCAGAACAATCGTGCCTTCCCCTCCATGTTCAGTTGGTGGAAATGTAGGCCACATATAAAAACATGCCTGTTCTGCATTTGGCCTACTTTTGCCTGAACTCCAAACCACAATCTAGCAGGTGCTCTGTGGACAGACTTTCTTCATCCTACCTACTTATTGGGCATTTGTTTCAAAAAGGAGGCCAAATGAATCTCTTTTTCTCTATTCGAGCACTTACAACTAACAAAGGGAAGTAGGTTGTTACAGAGATTTAAGGTTAATCTCACAAGACTTCTGTAAAGAACATACCAGTGTAATTTGGCTTCCATTATATTTTACTTATTGTTTGCTTATATTTGATTTAAGAAAATGGAGGATGTTTTTAGGACCATGAAGAAAGTTTTGCATTGTGACATTAAGTTAAACAAAAATTATTTTTTATATATATTTATATATATTTTTTTTTATATATATACAGGTGCATCTCAATAAATTAGAATGTCGTGGAAAAGTTCATTTATTTCAGTAATTCATTCTCAAATTGTGAACCAAACTGAGAGACCATTTTGAAGGCTCAGGAAACCTTTGCAGGTGTTTTGAGTTGATTAGCTGATTGGCATGTCACCATATTCTAAGTGAATTGGTGGGTTTTTGTTAAATGTGAGCCAAAATCATCACAATTAAAAGAACCAAATACTTAAACTACTTCAGTCTGTGTGCATTGAATTTATTTAATACACGAGTTTCACAATTTGAGTTGAATCACTGAAATGAACTTTTCCACAACATTCTAATTTATTGAGATGCACCTGAAGTTATCTTATAGGGATGCAACAATACATTTAGCCTACGGTTCAATACATACCTCAGTTTTTTAACCACGGTTTTCGGTTTGGTTTGGTTCTGATGGTTTGACACATCAGAAGTTGTTGTTTTTTTTTTTGCGATTTTTAAAATGTGATTTTTAAAACAATTTGAAAAATCAACTCCTTTACACTTCTGTACACTGGAGAAAAACATGGATTATCATGTGTCTTGTTCAAATTTCTTTTGAGAGAAGTATTATTTTTCCTGTTTATTCCCAAAATAGGATGGATTGGCCATTATTGTGCGCTATAAGCACATGTAAGTCTGTTTCATTCATACTGGAAGCCGGGGGGCGCCCTCACACAGAAACTCCACATATGCATCACAGAAGTAATAGAACTCATATGTTCCAGGAAATCCCTAATATGGACAAAGGCATCCAGCTTTCGCTGAATAAAAAGAAGATAGAAACGTTTTGGATAATGAAACTTGAAGACAAATTAACATTTGACAAAGACAATGTATAGTTTATCTGTGTTCTTCAAGCCATCTCTGGTATTTTCATAATAATTAAGTATATTTGTGATCCATTGCTAATCGACATAGCCTTTATTACAGTATTGAATATATTTTCTGCCTCATTCTGTGATAAGAAGCCACACCAGACCCCCTCATGAAAGAAGAAAGCCATCGGGTTTCCGCTAAGCGCTGAATTTTCAAAAGTATGTGAAATATGTAAAGTTTGCAGCATAGACTCTTTAAATGCATCCAAGAGTTTACACATCGGTCTGTTATTGTGGTGACATTTCCACACCCCTAAACATGACCCGGCACAAAATGAAACGTGATTGGTTGTTTTACTTGTCTGTCAGTTTCTGCTGTCAGTCTGAAGGTCTGGCTATGCGAGACTATAGGTGGAGAGGCGTTTCCTGATCTCAGCGAAAACTCACGGGCACACAAACAGAGCAATTCAGAGAGCAATTCGGAGAAAAATCAAACCCATGTAAATTATTTAACCGCAAAACCGATTTGGTACTATGTACCGAATGGTTCAATATTATATTGAGAATTGTGGCATCCCTCTTATCTTATATAAATAAACGTTTTATATTACATATTAAACATTATGTAAATAAACACATTATATATTAATATAATAATAATAAATCCTTACATTTATATGGCGCTTTTCTGCGCACTCAAATCGCTTTACATAGAAGGGGGGAATCTCCTCATCCACCACCAGTGTGCAGCATCCACCTGGATGATGTGATGGCAGCCATACTGCGCCAGAACGCCCACCACACACCAGCTTATTGGTGGAGAGGAGACAGAGTGATGAAGCCAATCGGCAGATATGGGGATGGTTAGCAGGCCATGATGGTCAGAGGCCAATAGGCGAATTTGGCCAGGATGCCAGGGTTACACCCCTACTCTTTTTCCAAGGACATCCTGGGATTTTAAATTACCACAGTGAGTCAGGACCTCGGTTTAACGTCTCATCCGAAAGACGGTGCTTTTTGTCAGTATAGTGTCCCCGTCACTACACTGGGGCATTAGGACCCACACAGACCACAGGGTGAGCACCCCCTGTTGGCCTCACTAACACCTCTTCCAGCAGCAATGTGGGCAACCAGTCATGAGCTGCAGGGTGATATGGCTGCTGTTACATGTTAACATGTAACATATGTTAGATATTATATATATATATATATATATATATATATAGGGTACGGAAAGTATTCAGACCCTCTTAAATTTTTCACTCTTTGTTATATTGCAGCCATTTGCTAAAATCATTTAAGTACATTTTTTTTCCTCATTAATGTACACACAGCACCCCATATTGACAGAAAAACACAGAATTGTTGACATTTTTGCAGATTTATTAAAAAAGAAAAACTGAAATATCACATGGTCCTAAGTATTCAGACCCTTTGCTGTGACACTCATATATTTAACTCAGGGGCTGTCCATTTCTTCTGATCAGCCTTGAGATGGTTCTACACCTTCATTCGAGTCCAGCTGTGTTTGATTATACTGATTGGACTTGATTAGCAAAGCCACACACCTGTCTATATAAGACCTTACAGCTCACAGTGCATGTCAGAACAAATGAGAATCATGAGGTCAAAGGAACCGCCTGAAGAGCTCAGACACAGAATTGTGGCAAGGCACAGATCTGGCCAAGGTTACAAAAAAAATGCTGCTGCTATATATATATATATATATATATATATATATATATATATATATATATATATATATATATATATATATATATATATATACACTTTTTCCAGAATTTATAAATATAAAATTATTTATATTATTTGTTCATATTTATATGTATTATTATGTATTGTTCTTATATTTATATATTGCAGATTTACTCTTGCGTTGAGTATAAGGAGAGTCATATGCCCAAGTACAGCAAGCACACTGGCAGGGGTTGGATCCGTGCCTACAGATGCTATCTATATTGCTTTCTTGCACTGATTCACTTGAATAATTGGGATTAGCCTATTTGATAAGCGGGAAATAGTCTATTGTGTTTTGCTGACAAAGGGTAATTGGTCATAAAAGGTCATGTTGGGTGTAAGACAAGGTTTGAGCGCACTCTCGTGCATTTAGATGAACTGCTAAATAAATGGTCTCTGCTTACATAAGGCATGTTCAGGAAGGTTCAAGCCTTCAAGGTGTAATGGCATGCCAGTGCATTTCACCGCACTCACAAACTAGGTCAGCTGCTTATCAAATCTGTGGTCCACTTACAGAAGCTATGGATTATGTTTAACAAGCTCTGAACTGCAACTCCCATAAGCCCCTTCTGTCAAAGCTTTATGCAGCTCAGCTGCATGACATGGTCCACCTTTACCCCACTTAACACATCACCACAGCTTGTATTGTTTGCATGTGTTATTATATTTACAATGTTCTCACAATGTGTTGCAATCCTAATGTACTGAACAGGTCTTCTGCTGGGTTTACACTCTCTGCACTTCCCTTCTCCTATAACAATTGGTGTGGTCCATTGTAAAGTGCTCATTTTACTTAGAAAAATAAATAAAATATATTTTTTTTACAATAGTAACTTTATTGTTGGTGATTAATGACTTAAATTAAAGCTGTTTCTCTTCTGAACTGAAACTGTTGTTTTGAACTTGCCTTTTTGTAAAGTTAAAAAAAATTTTTTTAGACATTTGTAACATTACAAAAGAATGCTGTTATTTTTCATTTTCTATTCATTAGAGTCCTGAATACATTTATTACGGTTTACACAAAAAATATAATAATTTTCTTGAGCACCAAATCGGCACATTAGAATGATTTCTGAAGGATCATGTGACACTGAAGATGGCTAAAAATTCAGCTTTGCCATCAAAGAAAGAATTTATGTATATTTTTTAAAAGCATTTGAAAACATAAAAAAAACTGTTATTTTTGTTATTGTAATGTTTTAAATATTAGGTTTTACTGTCTCTTACTTTTTTTTTTCTTCAACAGTCTTGGACAGCAAAAGAGACTACTTTCAAAAATATTTTAAAAACCCTAACCAACCCTAAACTTTTAAATGGTAGTGTCTATAACACAGGATGACCTGAAAATTCCAAAATGAGAATTTCCTCCGTTTGATTTTCATCCAAGACGTCAGTCTGGATGTTTTAATCCTTTATTGGTCAAACAATTTTTCTCTATGCTAATTCACAGGTCAGAGTTTAGTGTGCAGCTGAAGACAAAATCTTTGCATGTGCTTGTGTACCCATTCTCCTTCGTTTGCATGTGTATGAATGGAAGTGTATGAAATTGAATATAAAATCTAGCATGAACCGACCCTTAACTACTTTAAAGTGGGAATCACAATATACCAGTGGCACCAGCAATCAACGTAACAGAGAAGGTGTTTTATTTAAGGAGTCATGGGTTAATTCCAGGGTCTTGTTTCCGGACAGTGTCCCTAATGGCCACTTTGAATGGCCCTCCTTTGTACACACATCTTATTGAAATGACCTTATGGTGGTTAATGGTGGCACTTTAATAACCCTGCAGAGGTTATTCAGAAATCAGCACAGCCAGCTTGTCATTTAGAGAGTCGCTGTGAAACAAGCTGGGTGACAATGGTCTCCATAGTGATGAAGTCTACAGCAGTTATTAAACCTACAGATGGTCTGTTCATCCAACCCAATGACTTACACTTCCTTATTTATTGTCTTTGAGGACCCTGGACCCATGCCGCCGACTCCCACCCTGGTCCAGAAGCCACTGCAGCTGTTGGAAATCAAAGCTAGGGGGCGCTTTGGCTGTGTGTGGAAGGCTCAGCTGCTTAGTGACTATGTGGCAGTGAAGATTTTCCCCATTCAGGTACCACGCAAACCCAAGGCCAGAGAATTGGCTCCTAAAGCTGATGAGTTAATCAAACCTGCTTAACCAATTACACAGCCAAACGTGGAGCTGAGCCATGTGTCAGCCTGTGAAGTTACATATATGTGCACTGCATGTACAACATTAGCACATAATGTGATTTAAATAAAACTGAATTTGAGAGTCATGTAAAATATTTCTAATTAATGATAGACTTGACAGCAAAGATGATTCAATCATATGAAACAGAATGTGAAGAGGAAACTATACATCTTCTGTATTAAAACATACGCTGTAAAAAGCTGTATATATCAATGTTTAATATTTATATAGTTTAGTATACATAAATGATATAACTGTGTTTGTTTATTTATTTACTTTATACAGAATATGAACAGAACAGTGTTCAATGGGCAGTTTTTTTAATTAAGAAATTAGTATTCAGCAAGGATGCTTTCATTTATCAAAAGTGACAGTAAAGACATTAATAATGTTACAAAAGACTCCCCTTTCAAATAACTGCTGTTCTTTTGAACTTTCATTTCATCAAAGATTCCTAAAAAAAAAATTCTGACCGTTTCCACAAAATATTAAGCAGCACAAGTACTTTCAACATTAATAATAAAAATTAATTCTTGAGCACTAAATCAGCATATTTGAATGATTTCTGAAGGATCATGTGACACTGAGGACTGGACTAATAGCTGCTGAAAACTCAGCTTTGACACCACAGCAATAAATTATGTTTTAAGATATATTACAATAGAAAATGGTTATTTTAAATTGTAATAATATTTCACAATATTACAGTGTTTTTACTCTTATTTTTGATCAAATAAATGCAGCCTTGGTGAGCATAAGAGACTTCCTTCCTTAAATATACATGATAAACATTTATTTCATGAAATGAAAATTTTTGAAAATGTGCATCTTTAGTAGAAACAGCTAACAGAAGATTAGCTCCACATCAATCAACCATGTAATAATTTGCTCTGGTAAATTACTACTTGCATAATCTGTGTTGACTGTGAATGTCAGCTAAGGCTCTGTAACTCATATCAATTGTTTTAATGGTCAGTTAGCAGCCCTACTGCTGTTGACTTACTGGTTGATCAATGTTTTTGATCAATGTTTTTAGGGGATTGCCCATCATACCAGTGTGCTGTAATAACTGTGTACTTTGGGTCTTTCTCAGGACAAGCTCTCATGGCAGAGCGAGTATGACATCTACAATCTCCCCGGCATGAGGCATGAAAACATTCTGCAGTTCATCGGGGCAGAGAAGAGAGGAAGCCACCTGGACATTGAGCTGTGGCTCATCGCGGCTTACCATGAGAAGGTGTGGAACTGTATGAGGGCTGGACAGTATTGGCTTGCACTTAAAAGGAGGAACGTTCTAGTCCAAGTTTACAAATTAATCTCTCTGCCATCATAATCAGCAGGCATTACATGCTATATTATTTTTTGCAATGTTGCTAATGACATTTAAAAATACTTTTTTTAATTTATATGAATTTTGAACGTCAGACTAGAGAATTTTGCTTAATGAAATTATCAAGCCCAGCTGCTGAACACTGAGAAATAAACATGACAAAGAAATAGTGATAAAAAAATGAGAAAGAAAATTGGCTACTTTTTGAATGCTGCTGATGTCATTTGCATTTTTGTTATAAATGTATTCTGCTTGATATGTTCTCAGGGGACAGTCATTACAAAAGAAACATTTTTTATTTGTCATGTTGATGCCTTGTCAGATCCAATTATGCAAAATAAATTATTTTAATTAAAAAATCATTCAAGTTTTTTGAGTCAATATGTGACAGTAGCACTCAAAGTATCCGGAGTCAGTGTTATTGCTGAGTTTATACGTTTTTTTGTTTCCTTTAATTGTGAATTTAAAAGGTTTTAGTTGTTTGCACTGCAGGCTGATATACAGCCATGATTGATCCGCTTGTCTGTTCTGTCTGTGTGCAGGGCTCCCTGACAGACTACCTAAAGGCAAACGTAGTGACGTGGAATGAGCTGTGTCACATCGCTCAAACCATGGCTCGGGGCCTGGCTTACTTGCACTCTGACTTCCCAGGACACAAAGACGGCCACAAACCGGCCATCGCACACAGGTGAGAAATGTTCAACTCTTTAAGAACCATTATGGTCCTTGGATATATTGAACAGAAGACACTGTCATAAGGATAGTTCACCCAAAAACATACACTCGTGTTGTTCCAAACCTGTATGACTTACTTTCTTCTGCAGATACACACATTTTTAATGTGTGGGGTTTTTTTTCCCCATGCAGTGAAAGTCACTGAGGTACAGTGTTTTTTTTAGACCCCACTGACTTTCATTTTTATAGACAAAAACAGCCGAAACCATGTTGAAAATATCTTTGTGAGCGTTTTAAGCCATTTTTACTTTAAAATTTTTCAATTGTATTGTACGTGCACAGAGATATTAAGAGCAAGAACGTGCTGCTGAAGACAAACCTGACGGCCTGTATAGCTGACTTTGGTCTGGCTTTGAAGTTTGAAGCAGGGAAGTCAGCTGGGGACACACATGGGCAGGTAAGTGTTGAAAGACAACAAGTTCAGATTAGTGCTGGGCGGTATACCGGTTCATACCGAATACTGGTGTTTATTTTTGTTATGATATGAATTTTTAAAATACCGCAATACCGGTGTATGTCGCTTAAACAACATTCGGAAGGGGTCCCTTTTTACTGTTGCACTGTGTTGAGGGAACAGCTGTATGTGTTACTAAGCGTGAAAGTTCCGAAACTGAAGCTGTAGAACTAATAGAACGTGATGACACAGAAGAACTCATCCACAATATCCACATTGACCACTACAAATATCCACCGCCCCCTGCCATCAACTCCTGCGTCTCACACACACACGAGCTTCAGCACTAGATTTAGCAACTTTCAGACCCTTTTAGTGGCTTTTTTCCATAGAATATTCATACTGACAAACCTAGCGACTTTTTTGGATAAACCTTAACTATGGATCAGTTGGAAGATTTCACCAGTGCTGTCCCGCGAACGCGAGATCTGCCTTTCCCAGAGAAGTGTCACCTCTCTCGGCGTCTGTTCTGTGCAGTGAGCGGCAGAGAAGCAGCGCATTCAGTTGGCCGCACCGCAGCCAACTCGTCAATAAATGAGTACAAAACAGCGTTTCCAAGCACCTGTCGCTTACTGATTGTTTAGAATTATAAATATGAGCGTAGTTCGTCTGTTAATATCACATGCATTTTTTTGTTTGTTGTTTTTTTTAGTTTGTTACTCAGACGCAGGCTGTGCGCTGCATGAGACAAAAAAGTAATATAGCCAAAATAACCGCATAGCCGCTCTTTAGTGTAGATGCATGTTGATTTTATCAGACGATGTCACGATTATAAATGAGAGTGACTCCTGGTTAACATGTATTAAAAGGGGTCGTGTTTAGTCTCTATTTAGTGTGGTATTTTTTTGACAATATTCACTCATCATGACAGTAAAATAGGGCATTCTAAGGCAATATACTGCAGTATTTCCTCTCTCAATCAGTAGAAAATATAGCTAACAACCGGACATGCATGAAAAAAAATACCGTCATGTACCGTGAAACCGGTATAATTTTGAAAAATACCGTGATATAAATTTTTGGTCATACCGCCCAGCACTAGTTCAGATCCTCTAAAGCTGGTGCTGATCGCTCTGTGAAGTGTGTTTAAATATGAATATGATTCTATGGAGGTGTATTGGAGGCTGTATCTCAAAACCTAATGTGCTGCCTACATAAAAGGCTTGTCACCACACAAAAATGGCAGTAGTCAATATAATACCAGTAGTGAAATTTCTTTCTCAGTACCACAACAAAAACGCATATACTATTGAATACAAAAAGTATTTTATGCAAAAAGATAAAAAATAGTAATATAAATGCTAACAAAGTCAATTAAAACCATGGCATGCAGCCTTCAAGTGTTTCTCAATTAAGTAATCACATCTTGAAGTTTGTCCAAGAAATTTTTCAGGTAAACAGGTGGTAATAAAATCATGAACAAATAGAACAATTAAAACAAATGAACAAGGATACAAATTAAATAAACGCTTGAGGTTTTTCACATTTTTAACAGCAGTATGAAGTATGCAGGTAAAAATTCAGTAATTGAATAAAATACAAATGTAATCAAATATTAAGTATAACTTTCTTGTTTTGTTATAGTATACAAGAAGTACAAAACATAAGATTCACACATGTTTATTAGGCTATAAATCACAGCTGGATGAGCCCTTCATATTGAAACCATAAGTGAATTGACTGCAGTGATAGCAGAAAGATTGTAGAAAGACTTGTAGCAATACTTTTTTATTGTATTGGCTTGGTACCGAAGTGCCGGTAGTTCTCCACTACATATGCAGCATTTTGTTATTGGCATGTTCAAGCATTGTATGCATCTAGATCAGTGTTACTCATTGCGCGGCTCGCCAAGCTTTAATGTGTGGCTCGCATGGCAGATGGCAGTAAATAATACAGATATGATCAATACAGATGTTTAATAAAAACATTAAAAACAAGCAGGGCTAAAACTAAGCCATTAAAAAAAACTCACACCGTCTACACTGGACGCGAGCGTCGTGGAGCGACAAAAGACAATAGAACCCATTTTAATTATGGCCTTGTGATTTCTGCGATGCGGAAAACGCAGACAGAATTGCGGAATCCAGTCATAAAAACAGAATTTACTGTATAACGCAGAATGTCACGGAATTTGTCAAAGTTTGGGTGAATAAATCAAAAGTAGGTCATTACACTTAAATCAAATCGCAATATTGACTGGTATCTGTAAATATTAAGCTGCAAAAATACCATTTAAATATGAATCCTGCATGTCTCTTTATGAATGAATGGCACAGACGCGCGGTTTAGAAAGATATTTAAACTTGCTCTGCCCTTACGTCCATGACATTGACTCACTACGGAGTTGTTTTGGCAATCTTTCCAGCTCTTAACGCCCAATGTGCTCTTATGGTTTGATACATGATGGGCTAATGTAGTTAAGCAAATGACTTTTTAAATAAATCACTTTTAAAAATAAACCCCTTTGTATTGCATTGCATATTGTGTGTTCAGGGATGACATTGAGAAGCAGACATGCTATTTATGACTGGATGTAACTTTTCATACTTTGCAGTAAAAGTGGCTCTCCTGTTAACTTTGTCCTATAAGTGCGGCTCTCGTGAAAAAAATAGTGAAGATCACTGATCTAGATCATTGAAACATTCTCATATATTTCAGTAATAGAAATAGTTGCTCTGGCAGCTGGACCCTTGCCCATAATTCACTACTTATCAAGGCAATACTATATGCATGTACATGTTCCATTTTAATCTGTTATGCTAACCAGATGGGGGTCTCTCTGTGCACTTCAGGTGGGAACCAGACGTTACATGGCCCCAGAGGTGTTGGAAGGGGCCATCAACTTCCAGCGAGACGCTTTCCTCAGGATAGACATGTATGCGGTGGGACTGGTGCTGTGGGAGCTGGCGGCCCGTTGCACTGCATCTGATGGTACGAATACATGAGCTGCTATTCCTCTTAGACTATTTTGACATCAAGCTGTGCAGTTATATGAGCTAGTTTATAGAAATTTGATTGACATTTGAGTTGTAGCTGCAGCACTCCATGATCACACAAACACATTTTCCAGTATGTTTTACTATCACTTGGGCTCCTGAATAAGCCTGTCACTGTAAGTGCAGTAAGTTCACTATTATTGATTATTGGTCTCTGGTCTAATGGAACAATATTGATCAGGTGTGGAAAGTGAAGCAGACCTCAGGGACTGTTGTGACAGGGGTCATCATGTGTGACAACCTCATTAAGTGCAGTGCATGATGGGATTGAATGGATGACAGAGTGTGATGGCAGATCAGGTGGTTAAAAGTCATTCTGTTTAGCTACTTCTTCTCCAAACTGACTTCTCCTTCATTTGTTTGGCGTTTGTTGATAACGTGGAAGAATGTTATTTTTTCAATTTTCGAGTTTTTATCAGCGATAATTTAATTCCATTTTTGATGCACATGGCAAGATATGTAGTTTTATTCTTTGATTCTAAAAACCACTAAAGGTACACACAAAAATGAAAAATTGTCATCATTTACTCACTCTTAAGTCATTCAAAACCTGAAAGTCAAGTCAAGTCAAGTCACCTTTATTTATATAGCGCTTTTAACAATACAGATTGTGACAAAGCAACTGAACAGCATTAATTAGGAAAATAGTGTCAATAATGCAAAATGACAATAGTAAACACTCATTTTTCAGTTAAAGACAGTTCATCATTGAATTCAGTGATGTCAACATCCAGCTCAGTACAGTTTAAATAAAGTCAAAAATAGAACTAGTGATAACAAGGCGCTCTGATTGTTTTTGTTGTAGAATACAATAGGGGATATATTCACACGTTATAAAACTGAAAAAGGATGGCGTATAAAATTGATTTTAAGATAAAAAATTAGACGACAAAGAATTAACTTGACGGAGCTCAAACTCAAACCACACGGCTGCAAGACTTACTATCTTCTGAGAAGCATAAAAGAAGATAACTCAATGGTCACCAAAATGGTTTGGTTCCCAACATTCTTCAAAATATATTCTTTTGTGTTCTACAGTGGAAATAATGTCATACAGGTTTGGAACTATGTGTGTGAATAAATGATGTCACATTTTTCATTTTTGCAGGAAAGAAGAGCTGAACACATTCTTTTCTCAATCTTTTTAAAATTACATTTTAAATTATTTTTATACTGCTCAAAATGATTAAAAACTAGGGCTGATAAATTTAATGAAAAAGTAATAATTTAGTAAATGTTAAAAATGATTGCATTACCACATTTAGCTCATGTCTAAAGTTAATGTGATTTCTGACATTCTATTTTTTTTTTCCTTGCAAATTTTCTGTGTACCCCTTGTAGCTCCTTGGGGTCTATGGACCCTAGTTTGAAAACGCCCGTTACCCCTCAATGGTAGAACTTGAGCGGATGTTTGTTGATTGTTTCTTAAGGTCCAGTGGATGAGTACATGCTTCCGTTTGAGGAGGAAGTGGGCCAACACCCCACTCTAGAGGACATGCAGGAGGTGGTGGTCCACAAAAAGCTTCGGCCCACTCTCAGGGAGTGCTGGCAGAAACATCCGGTACGGATCATCGTTAGACCTCACTGCAACTGAAGATTTTAATTAAGTGAATATTATACTTGATATAAAACATGTTAATTTGTCTCTCAGGGTCTGGCCATGCTGTGTGAGACTATAGAGGAATGCTGGGACCACGAGGCTGAGGCGCGTCTCTCCGCGGGCTGCGTTGAGGAGCGTGTGATCCAAATGCAGCGGCAGACCAGCGTCCCCGCCCCGGAGGAAATAGTCACTGTTGTAACCATGGTGACCAACGTGGACTATCCCCCTAAGGAGTCCAGTCTATGACTAGAGGATATCAGCATGTGAATTGCGGGGCTGACCGAACAGAAAAGACGCGTCGGAGATGGTGGTGGACTGCAGTTCTGACGGCTGGCTTCAGACATGCTGGATGATTGTCCTGTACTTAAGGCTGGAGCAAATGCAGATGATGCATTTTGTGCCGAATCTGGGTTTAATACAGGTTTACCTGGAGCAAGCTACGTTATTGTATTTGTGTGTGTATATAAACTAGTACCACGGGGCACTCTGGTAAGGACGGATGGATTATAAGCCGACATCAAAAGTGAACCTCTTTGTTGTTGTTTTTCTGCTCGGAGAATAAGCTTTCACATTCAAGGAGTAAACAAGACTCCTCCTCCGCCACAGCGCTCGTGTCATTTCAGTATAAAAAGGGCAACGTCCATGTAAAAAAGACACATTTAATGTGTTCGTATGAATGACTATTATAATGCCAATAAGAAACAGCTTTTTGAATGTGTAGTGTGACGCTGCTGTACAGATATCAACAGAAAGGGTGATGATACAACCCAAATCAACACGTGTTTTCTCTGAAAGCTTTCAGAGTTTCTGTCAGATAACCACCAACCTCTCGACAAGGTATACCTCAGTTTCTCATCCTAATAATACATTTGTTTTGTAACACTATATGATATAAGAAAAGAGGCTTTTCGATGAACTCCATTTGGCACGGAAGCTTTTTAAATACGGGGAAAACTTTTTTTTATATGACAGATTATGCCAAGAAACGATGGCCATTCATAAACCAGTGTTCTGCCTTCTTTCTTTTAGTTGTTCTCTGTGTTGCCCTGCTGTTTAAAATGTGATCCTTTTGGGGGTTTTTTAGCATTGTGACTGTTTGTTTGTTAAAGCAATTTTTGACCTTTATCGAGACCTGTTGAGAAGAAAAAAATCCCTGAAAATATGAATTTTGTGAAAATAATACAGAAGCACTTACCAATATAGGTTTGCAGTGTCCTCACAACATTGACGTATGTGCATGCCTTGTTTTCTTTTCTTCTTCTTTTTTGGTTCATTTTTCATTTTCTTTGTTTTTCAATCCTTTATCACGTGGAGCTTGTGCGTGAGATCCCATTAGCAGTCATGGAAACCCCTTCATTATTTGTTAATCTGAAGTTATTTCCTGTCTTCAGGGCGTCACTCTTTTTCTTTCATTTCCATTTTCATTGGGAATCATCCAATCTTGGTCTTCTACGGTCTTCTCACTCTCCGCTTCTGTGTCGTTGCGAGTAGAAGACCGCCCTTGTGCGCTGCATTTGAACCAGCCTTCTCATGAAGCCCGACCTCACGAGTGACACGTCAAACTGGTTTCAGATCAGCAGCCAGGCGACCTTCTACACACTTCTACAAGAACTGTATCTCAGTATGTCTCAGGAAGCGTTTCCCTTTGCTTTGAGCCCTCTGGTGCCATTCTGGTGACCCTTGTTATATTATGTATGCAAGGGCCGTTAATATAACACCTTATTAGTGTGGTCAAATTATGTGCAATAACATCCTAAGCAGGGACTGTTTCACAGCTCACAGGCCACTTCCAGTGTGGTAGAAATACAAGCACCTAGCAGTTTGCTTAGACCATAATGTACATCACAAACTGAAGTCAACGTCAGGCTATGCATATGACGCACGTTGTCTGAGAGTATTAAGATAATAATATGCTGTAATGGGGACCGAACACATGCAGTAACTCTTTGCCGACAGGCAAACACAGTCTTTCAAAAGAAAGCTGCTGCTGCTGCTTTTAGGCTTCGTTCACACTGCACTTGAATCCAATTTTTATTTTCAGATTCGATCTTTGGATCGACTGTCATTTTGTGAGAAATTTGATCCATTTGTTCGGACAGTGTAGTCAATATCCGTCCCAATATCAGTCATTACCATCACATTGCATCCCAGATGATGAAAAAACTGCTCTAATCTGACTGTTCACACTGAAACTGATATTAATCTGACATCAGTGGCTCATTCAGTGGCTCATTTTGCTTTCAATATTAGTCACATTGCATCCTTAATGGTGAAAACTGACAATTCAGGCTGAATGCATTTCTGAAAATCTGATTTAAAACCACATATTCATGTGATTTGTATCCGTTTTGTAAAAATCTTTGTTTTCCCCCCATTCAGACTACAAACATCTAAACTGATTTGAATCAGATACTAAATCAGATTTATGCTGCCTGTCTGAACAAATGATCTAATATGATTTGGTGGCTCATTTTCGTTCATTTTGCTTTCAATACTAGTCACGTCATCCTGAATGGTGAAAAAATTCAGACTCAACACATTTGTAAAAACATGATTTTAATCTGATTTCAAACCACATACTGCTGTGGTTTGAATCCAGTTTGTAAACGATGCATTTCATGTTTGTTTTTTAAAATCGGATATCTGTTGCCTGTCTGAACAAATCGTGATATAAGATTCATAGAATTCAGTGGCTCATTTTGGTTTGTTTTGCTTTCACAATTCTTTTACAGTATGATGCATTTGACAATGTTCAGGTCCATACAACAGTATGCAATCAAGCCCTTTCAATGAAAGCTCTCTATCTCTCTCTACTGTAGCATTCTCAGCCAGCTCATTCTGTTTTACTTTATCTGACTGCTGTCAGGATGGTAAATTAATACAAGGGCCAATGCCATCTTTCAAAGGCCCTCAGTTGGACACTGTAGATGCAAAATGTAAGGTCAGTCAGTTATAAGACCAAACTAAAGTGCTGGTTAATTTGTAGTTAATTGAGTGCTCTGGTCTGACAGCGTCTCCCGTGAGGTTCTTGTGATTTAACTTTTGACTGTAAACACTACAGACGATTCAATAAGCTGAGTGACTGCTGCTGGCCTGTAGAGTTTTTACCAGGTGCTGTCCTGTTCCCGTATGTTTTTGGTTTTCCAGTTAGGGAATTTGGGAGGAAGGTTGAATAAGATGGAAAGCCAAACTTTAAAAGCCCCGTGTTCAGTAGAGAACTCAATTGAAAATGCACCGTATGTATATATGAATGTTGTTTTAGATTGTGAAAAGAGCATGATTTTTTTTTTATGTCTCGAAAAAAATCCTTTATTGATATTATTATTATTAAATATTTTAATGTTAATTTTGTACATCTGTATTTTAGTTTTATTAATTTATATCATGGCCCATCTGTCATTCTTTACTGGATCAATGAGAAGTGATGCTTTTTTCAAAACTGGTCAGATAAATAAAACACTACTAAAGAATCAATCCTTTACCTCAGACTTCCACTCACGGCGTTCAAAAGATTGAACAAACAGTGTAGCACGACAGACAACATGGTGCAGCGTTGTAAGTATTGCTCCTGGGATTCGACCAGCTGCTTCTCTCTCTGTCTTTTCTCTCAGACACACTTTTGGGGTCTTCAGTGACCATGTTTCTTCTCAACTACACCACTGAGTGAATGTCTCCACTTTACCAAAACTCTGCATTTTAGGTGCGAGCAGCTGTATTACTGTTGTGCTGGACATGCCATTTTTGTCCAACTTTCTCTTGAGTATTTAACGCATTCAGGGCCTGACCAGACGTAATTGTTACATAATGTACAGATGAAATTTTATGCTACTATTCCCCTCCAATAAAGTATAGTGACTGCTCTCAAAAGTGTGCTGTGTCTCAGTTACTCAATTTACCTGAAAACACTTGCATGCATATTTTCTCAAGGCTGGAATCAGTGCTGTCCAGCCTGACAGGTATTTGATGAATGGATGTGGTGTGTGAACACACCACTAGATGTCAGCATTTGACCTAATTCGGTTTACACTAATTCTGATTGTAGGATTTTCCAGTAGCCCCTCACTGCAGAACAAAGATCCAGGGGGTGGAGATGGGTAGGTTTAGGTATATGTAAGGTGGGTTTAGGGATCGGGGGGTGGAGACGGGTAGGTTTAGGTATATGTAAGGTGGGAGGAGTTGGATCTGGATCCAACCTCGCCCCCTGGATCTTGTGTTCTGCAGTGAGGACCATCTCGGATTTTCCTCAGTTTAAAATCTTTGTAAGATTTTTTTAAAACTAATACTCAGTATATTAATTATTTAATTACTAATTTAATAAATCGATTACTAATACTAATATATTCCTTCTATTTAGCAAGGATGCATTAAATTGATCAAAGTCTTAAAATGGAAAATACTTCATTTAAATTGTAAAAATATTTCACAATATTACAATTTTTACTGTATTTTTGAATAAATGCAGTTTAATCATGCAGATCAGATGCAGTTTTGGTAACCATAAGAGACTTTATAGCAGTGGTTCTGCAGTCCAGCAGTGACCGAACACCCACCACTACAGGTTATATATAAATTGAAGTGGACTGCTTGTCCAGCATCCCATCTCCCTGTTTCTCTGTGAGCTATTGAACTGAAGCAATCTTGTCAGGCTGCTGTAAATGTCTTTGAATAACAGTGTGGGCGTCGACACATCATTCTCCTAACTAACACACTGCTATGTGCTTCACTGACTTTAACATAAAAAGAAGAAAAAACGAATAATGCATCCACTAGGTGAGACATATTTATTCCTGAAGCTCTGAGAAGTATAACAAAGGCTGCTATTCTATTATAGTTTTTAGTAATATTTTGAATTTGCTTCAGTTTTTATATTTTACATATTTTATGTTTATATTTATGAAAATAAATCAATATGTTTGTGAATCTGATCTAGTGACTTTTACACAAAGTCAGATGTAGTTCAGTTTTCTGAACAAATTGCCAAAGTCTATTGTAAGTCACTTTGGATAAAAATGCATACATTTAAATGTAAATTTCACAGTCCAGAAATTTGCGTTCAAACCATCACTGTTTCAGCATCTCGTGGTGTACACACGTTTTGCACACATTTTTGAGTGTTTTGGGCATCGCTGTGTTTGGATTTTGACCAGTATTCATGCAAATGCAACTCCTGTCAAACTGCCCTATGACATCATGGCATTGTTTACGTTCAGTTTATGTTGACATCACAGTCGCTGATAATAACCTGATCAGAGAGAACCATTATCCCTGGAGGAGAAAATTAACATCTACATTGAGCTCCTCTTGGGAAAAACATGTGTCTCTAGAATCATTTGGCAGCTCCCCAAACACAGAAGTCACAAAGCCAATGTGCTGCATGCACATCTGCCACCCGCTTCTCCAGCATCTCCAGGTCACAAGAGGTTTCACACGATGCACCCGAGGATTTTAACTGCTTTGAAAAATGTAAACATCACTGTTGTTATTAATTAAAACTAGCTATTAAAAATTGTTTTCGGTACTTGAAATTAAGTTGAAATAAAATATAAATATTGTACAAACATTTTTTCAAAACTTAAAAAAAACTGAAATTACTACTATTAACACTATCTGAAATAAAATTGAATTAAAGCTCTCTCTCTCTATAGATATATATAATATATATAAATTAATACAGATGAAAAAATGCACAACAACATTTCTAAATATAAAATAAAAATATGAAAGGTGAACATATAAAAATAAAAAGCTAATTCAAATTTGTAATAAATAAAAAAACATTAAATGTGACCTTAATTATTTCCCTAAGGTACTTGTTTAAATGAAAATGAACACCATCGGTCTTAAAAAATGTATTTTATCAAGGTTCCAGATTAACTCTGAAAAACTGTTGACGTGACAATTTAATGTTAGTTGTATCAGCAAGGTTTTACATTTAAAGCTCGCCATTCACACGTAAGATTTATTTATTTGTCTTGGGCAGAACAGCTGTCTAAAAGGCCAAATGTTAAATCAACCACGACATATGGGATCTACTGCAATCCAACTGTCCAAACCACAGCTAGAGATCTGGAAATGTGCTTAAAACGATCAGTAGTAATGTGCACAAATTCAATTAATGACAGACATAAACACATACCATGATCCCCTGATTTTTGGTTTTGAGCAAATGTATTTTACTTGAAAGTCAGTCCACCACTGAATATGTATACAGCAGTCTCTAGCTTTCTTGAAGGACATTTTATATCCAATCCAGAGGGCATAAAATGTGAAAAATAGTAAAACTGTCTCCTGCAAAAAGGAAAATTATAACCTCTAAACTCCAAAGAAACCCCAAAAGCAACTATGAAGAAATGACTGTGCATCGTTTTTCTGTTAAAATAAGCTTGAATAGAGCTTGAATATTCCCTCTCATTGTTGATTTGTGTGTTTTTTAATTGTTTGTAAATTTAATGTTACCAATGCTTTGGCAATGTGAAGCCTTCTTTACCATTCTAATAAAGCCACTTGAATCTTGAATAGAAATGGTAACTTACTTTTCTCCTTTTCAATATGATGTGACCAAAAGTTTCACAGTGAATGCATATTCACACTTGAGCTGAGATGAAATTGGGTCTAGTAATGCCTATGGCCCACGTCACAATATCACGAAGGCCCTTGGGCTCACCGTTCCCCCTCAGTGAATGCACATAGCTCATAATATATAATTCAGGTGGTGTTTAGTTCATTTGCACACTTCTGCAATCCAACTGTCCAAACCACAGCTAGAGATCTGGAAATGTGCTTAAAACGATCAGTAGTAATGTGCACAAATTCAATTAATGACAGACATAAACACATACCATGATCCCCTGATTTTTGGTTTTGAGCAAATGTATTTTACTTGAAAGTCAGTCCACCACTGAATATGTATACAGCAGTCTCTAGCTTTCTTGAAGGACATTTTATATCCAATCCAGAGGGCATAAAATGTGAAAAATAGTAAAACTGTCTCCTGCAAAAAGGAAAATTATAACCTCTAAACTCCAAAGAAACCCCAAAAGCAACTATGAAGAAATGACTGTGCATCGTTTTTCTGTTAAGATAAGCTTGAATAGAGCTTGAATATTCCCTCTCATTGTTGATTTGTGTGTTTTTTAATTGTTTGTAAATTTAATGTTGCCAATGCTTTGGCAATGTGAAGCCTTCTTTACCATTCTAATAAAGCCACTTGAATCTTGAATAGAAATGGTAACTTACTTTTCTCCTTTTCAATATGATGTGACCAAAAGTTTCACAGTGAATGCATATTCACACTTGAGCTGAGATGAAATTGGGTCTAGTAATGCCTATGGCCCACGTCACAATATCACGAAGGCCCTTGGGCTCACCGTTCCCCCTCAGTGAATGCACATAGCTCATAATATATAATTCAGGTGGTGTTTAGTTCATTTGCACACTTTGAGAGTTTCGTGTTCTGAGTTAAGCCGAACGCCGCATCTCCGAAGAGTGCTGTCTACCCTTCAACTGCAGACTACAGCTCCGCGTCGCCAGCCAACGCCCAATCACTGGCTTCCCAAGACTGAACCTCCAGCCAATCAGCAACCTCGGGAAACCCCTTTCAGCAACCAGACAAGAAAGGGAATCCCGCAACACAGAAAGCAAGTACCTCCAGATTCTGCTGAACTGGTGTAGTTAATCTAAATTTTAACCTCATTGAGGAACTCCGTGCGAGGGTTAATTAAGTGATTGATGGTTGTTCAGATCTATACAATTGCACATATTGCTGTAAACTTGGGATTTCACATTTTCATTCTCTTTAATTATTTCCTCTCTCTCTCTTTCTGAAAACTTGTGTGAATGCGTGTGTTCATGTGTTAGATTAGTTTATATGTCTTAGATTTATCCAATAAAGCCTTATTTATATGGAAAAGAGAAGTATCTTGTGTTTTGTGCTCACAAGTTAATGTCTTAAACTGCCGATCTTGTTACTATGCTAATTAATAATGTTTTCACTATATTTTGGATATTGATATCCATTGCAGAATTGCTGTCATACGGCTCGCTCACTGAATCGCTGGCCGTCTCAGTGATCCGCCGTAAAACAGTGATTCTGTCCTAATTCCCTTGCATATTAATGGTGGAGTTCCCTTTAAAATCTTAAATGATTCCCTTTGAGCTAAATTATTGACCTGTTTCCCTTACAGTGCATTCACTAAGTCCTAGAATAAAGCTACCAACTGCAACTTCTACTCCTGCTTACCCTAGGGAATCTTCAGTGTTCATACAGGGTTCCCAAAAATAAAGAGGGAGTTCAACTCGAACCAAATGTCAGCAGTATAAACTCCTCGTACAACACTGCGAGACACTTGGCCACATTAATGGCTGTCACCATTATTTGGTAACGTGGAACATCACATCCAGAACTCCCAGAACTTAGCAGAGAAGGTCCAGGACCCAGTGTACCCAAAGAACAGGACCCTGAGGGGAAAGAAGTACAATAATGAGGAACACCATAGCTGTCACAGCACAGAGAGGCTGAAACACCTCTGGACTACACTAAAAGACAAGGTTCACACATACACAGACATTTAAGTCAAACTTTTGGAGAGAGAGAAAAAAGGGTAATTTAAGAGAGGAAGATGACCATTTGTGATAAAGTGAAACAGCAATCTTTGAAGCCTGTGACCTTACCTTTCATCCTGATCCCAGCAGTTTACACTAATTCACACCTGGGATCTCAATGCCTGCAATGACTCCAACAATTAATTGTCTTGAGACTTGGGACGTCATTGTGTGTTTTGAGCTTAAATGATGGGGAATCATCTTGAACCACAGAAAAACACTGCTAATGTGCTGCTTAATATTTTTGTCTAAAACATAATCATTTTTTCCCCAAGATTCTCTGATGAATACAAACTTCAAAAGAACAGCATTCTTTGAAATAGAAATATTTTGTAACATTAGAAATGTCTTTACAGTTATTTTTGATCAATTTAATGTATCCTTACTGAATAAAAGTATTCATTTCTTTAAAAAAAAAAGAAGGGGAAATCTTACTAACCCCAAACTTTTGAACAGTATAGCAGACAGCATAAATGGTGCAATTATTTCACGGATCCTGGTGTGTGCAAGCAATACAGGCAATGTTCTGAAACACTCAGTGCAGCCCCTGCAGCGCTCAGACACTCTCCACTTATCCATCGCACATCCACCACTGTTTTATAGGATTGCTTCTGCACTAAGTTCTGCTCGTTCCTCTCATTAAAACTGATTTGTGTCTTAGCAGGTAACTTTTTCCAAGCAGCTCCCTGCACTTTCCTCTCTGCAGGCTCGCCTGCTATCAGACTGCACATGGATCAGGATATGTTCTTTATTTAAGAAACTATATATGTCAACAGAATACTGTAATTATTCTAGTGTTAAAACACTCAATAGCACAGTAACCATAATCACAGTAAAATATGTGGACTATGTTTTGATCATTAGACTGGTTCAAATTTAGCGACAAAACAGTAGTAAAAACAACCACAATTTTTAGGAATAATCCATAGTAAATTCAATCCTATTTAATAGGATTGAAATGTGTTGTATATCTCGTAAACCAAGCAGGCCCAATTCTTTACTCTCATTATTGGCAATAACACGACTAGATCTTAGTCAGAGTACAGTGTATTTAATTTTTGACAGGAATGAAAAGTCTGTGAGGGATAGAGGTACAGTGCGTTCAATGGATTGTAGCTACTGTTGTTTAACAACCAATAATATTACCTTTTGCAGTAACTTGTAGTGTAACTAATAAGATTTCAGTAATAATATTACTGTTACCATCCATAAAACAGCTAGTTACTAGTTACTAGTTACTTTTAATGCCTTTAATGAAATCAAATAATTCCTAGATTTATTTTCATAATTTTCACGACTCGCACAGGCACATGAAGTCACCAGTGCATCAGGAAAGCTTGGAATATAGAAAAGCTTACATTCAGGGGATGGGAATATTGCCATTACACTGATTTTGTCAGGAGAAAAGGTGATCTGAACACAAATGTGTAAGTTGTGGCATTACTTTACTCTGGCATTATGGCTTGCCCACCCACATCCTTCTGATCCCAATATAAATTATATTACTCTAATTAAAAATCTTATGAACTTATGTGATTTCTTTTGATAAAATACTTCATGAAATATAATAAATATTATTTGGTTATAGAGAAATTATAGCTAAAATCAGCTTCAATCTCCACATGAAAATTAACACTTTTACTTAAAAGTCACTATCAATCACCATTGAGTGTTTGTAAAAAGACTGCGATCCAGTGTAGATTTTGGTCAAATGATGAGGCAGAAATGTATTGTTAGTAACATTTTAGAAGAATTTTATGGGGAAGAAACACAATTACAACTTCTGTGGGGCGTGAAGGAAAAGTAATGTAACTAAATAGTGTACTGTTGCCAGAGAGTACTAAGTAATAATATTACTTTTGAAAGGAGTAACTAGTAACGAGTATTAAATTACATTGAGTAACAGCCCAATACTGTTAACAACATATACTGATTGTTTAGCTGACGAAATGTCTTTCTAAACAAGAACTCCATAAAACAGTTTTGAAAGTTGTAAGTTGTGAAAATTACATGATCTAGGACCTTGCTATCGTGCATGCCATTGTAAAGGCTAAGTCTATCCTTCACATCCTCATTTCATCTGTGTTAAATTCAGTATGATGTCTAACCTGACCAAGGGTGTGAAGGTACCAACATAATCCCACGGCTACTTGTAAATAGCCTATTTTACATTTTGGCAAACAGGTAACTAATTCGTACAAAATGTGTACAATTCCTATGTTTGGTTAGGTTTAGCGGTGGGTCTAGGGCTAGACCCTAATTTTTTTCTAAAACTTGCAGGCTACGTTTCCATGTGAATCACTTTGCAGAAATGTGCCATCTCATAAAACAGTTCTCATGAGATTGGATTGGAAGCTTCCTATTAAGGGGGATGCATCCCTCCCCCAAATGCACATCAATTGGTGATCAATAGCCTATGGGATTTTCAATTAAAACATTCTGTGGCTCAAAATCTTGAGTATATATATATATATATATATTTTGATTGTAGGCCATCTTTGCCTGCGTGGCATATGTAAAGACGTGATCATCACGGCACGGGAGATGTTTAACACTGTCTTCTTCTAATGTAGGCCTATGTGACAGCTCGATGCACGCATGTGCTCCCTCGTGCCCGTGTGTCGTAAATTCGTAATATCGTGTACACGCATGTTGCCATGAGGTGCGCGCGCAGCGGCACACGCGCGCTCACGCTCACGCTCTTTGGCAGTGTCGCGCGGGCTGTCGGGATCATGTCCGCCATGTTTTCACACCAGCCGAGAAAAAAAAAACCGTGAAAAAACATCATAACTCGCTCAGAGATGCCTTTAACCGCCGGATTTCGATCGGAGGGACGTCAGTGAGCGCGGCCGCGGAGAGAACCGTTGGCTCGTGTGTGTATTTGTACCGAATGATCCGTGTTTAGCGTGTTTGTGATCGCTAAAAACAATGAGTAAACTCTCGTTCCGCGCGCGAGCGCTAGACGCCGCCAAACCGCTGCCGATCTACCGCAGTAAAGACCTCCCGGACCTCACCGACTGCGTCTCCATCAACCGAACGGTTCCACAAATGCCAACTGGGATGGAAAAGGAAGAGGAGTCGGTATGTAAATGATTTAAAATTCATAATTTTTCATGAGGTTCAGGTGCATAGCAGGGTGTTGGTATTCACGTATCTCTTACGCACGTTTTAATACGTAAGTCCATTCTCTGCTCAAATGGATACGCAAACACCGTTCTAAGGCTCTAGGTTACGTTTAAAATGTACGACAGTTGCGTAGTCGCGGGAAATCTTTTACACTAGTGGCGTGAGCAAGGTTATTTACGTGAGACATTTGCTAGTGGTGAATGCGCACTGACGTCAGCCTTTTGGCGCAGATGCGTTAGAGATTGACGTCTGTTACGACAGGAATACAGCAGCTGAACGGCGTGCTTTTTGAAGTCTGAATCTGTTTGATTCTTCAGTGGATTTAGTTTTTGCAGCACCGGGCCGTAGTCATCAATATGGCATGTTTCTCTCCTACATTTCAGTATCATAGAATGCAGTGGTATATGAATATGGGAATCATTCAGTATCATGGCATATTTAAAAGTACCATGATATTACCATGTGATACCATGGCACGTATTTTTTATGTTTTAATATAAAGTCTAATACTAAATGTAAAGTATTATTTAATTAAACTATTAAATGTAATACATATTATTATTGTTAGTTCAAAATGTATTGTTTTTTATTATTTGTATTGTGTGTGTGTATGTATGTATGTATGTATGTATATATATAAATATACACACACACTATAATAATAATAATAATAATGTTGTGTGTGTATATTCATATCCATCTCTTATGGAGTTATATAATGAGATGTTTTATTATTAATAGTTTAAAATGTACTTTATTATTACTATTATTTTTGCTTTTATTATTAATATGAAATTTACTTAAGTTTTTTAATTTTAGTTTTAACATAGTAATAATATTTGATTTTATATTTGGTTATTTTGGTAAATATTTAATATTTGGTCCTAGTAACCAGCAGGCAAAAAGCGTTTTTGTTGTTGTCATATGTCAAGAAAAACAGAAATAACCCCCTTAAATCCCTCTGCTGTCTTTTAAACATTACACATTTTAACCTTTTTATGAAAAAAATAATGTTTTGGTCAGGTCAAATCAAGTATCCCTCAATTTGGTAAAGAAAACCTCATTGTATTCATTGTCAAAAATGTATATTTATTGCATTTACTTGGTTACACCACTTGCCACAACTATGATGATGTTGAGCTATTTTGAAATATGTTCAACAGATCACCATGATCTCTTCAGTTTGATCTTGATTAATTTTATTTGTCAAGTTATTAAAACAGAAGTATGAACTGCCATGTATCCATCTTGATCTGCATGATCAAGAGGTTGTGTTGGGCAGAGATACAGTACAGAGACCAACCCTCTACGCACACCTTGGCAATATAATCGCCATTGGCTAGTAAATTGTTTTGTTTACTCTCCAGACTGATATACTATTTTACACACACGTTTACTTGGCTATCTAAATGGGGACATTACATAGACTTTGATTGTTTTTATATACAGATAGTTATACACTTTTTAACCTAAACCCACCCCTAACCCTACCCCTCACAGAAAACTTTCTGCATTTTTTACAATTTCAAAAGTAAAAAAAAACTTTATTTTTATAACAGTTTTACAAATGAGGACATCCACAAATTGAGGTTTTTGCCAATTTTGTCAGGTTTTGCTCACTTTTGGGTACAAATTTGTCCCCAAAATATGGTTAAGTAGGTACACACACATACACATGATCAGCCAATCAATCATTATATTATGATAACTAAGCACTATTTAATGATAGAACTAGTGATTAGAACTAAAACTTGGTAACCATGAATGAATGCATATTTGTCATTTTAACTGAACTTATGACTGGTGGTGGTGTTTAAAGGGGTCCTATTATGCTCTTTTACAAAGTCTTGATTTTGTTTTGGGGGTGTACTAGAACATGCTCTCATGCTTGGTGGTTCGAAAAACGCATTATTTTTCACATAATTTACATTATTAAAATACCTTTCTCCCTAGCCTGGCACAAACGGCTCGATTAGTTCCGGCTTTGATGAAGGTCCGCCTTCTGAAAAACAAAATGTGATGTGATTGGTTAGCTGTCCCAGTGCGTTGTGATTGGCGAACAGCTTAGACGGTGTTTCAGTACTGCCACGCCTCTTGCTCTGTCTTTCAACAAAAGCTTTTGGGAATCCGGCACTTCTCACTCATGTTGTGGAAGCTGTCCTCAGTAAAATGCGCAGCACACAATAGCAAATTGGGGTTATAATGCTCAGGAACAGAGTTAAAAAATAAATTGCAACCACTGTTTCCTGACATCATCCGCTTTCGAAAGCCCAAACAAAGACGTTTGGGCACGGAGGTGAAAAAAA